CCTTTCGTTTCGTGTGAGTGTCTTTCGTATTTGTTGTTGTGTTTGAATGAGTGCGTGTTAGTGTGAATACGTGAGATGAATGAATGATTATGCTATTAGAGTCCCGCATTGATTTCGGCCAGAGAAATGGGATTATTGCCACATTAGGTGATTGTGGGGGTTTTATTACTAATAATATTTTCCTTAGTTTCATGTAAATAGATTATGCTCATATTGTAAATAAACATTGGGGTTAATTTTAGAATTATTGTTATATTTCCTCCCCTCACAGACTTTGTATTGTATATATGGGGTTTAGTTAGTTTTTTCATAGAGAAGACGAGGTATTATGGTGTTTGTAGTTTGAAAGGTACGTATAAATGCGATGTTTTGGTGTAAGGAATATTATCCGTACGATTGGGTCAGTGTTTGCGGCTAGCTAAGTTAAAACTAAGACAGAAGAAGACCGTCCTCTCCCCATTCCCCTATTTCGGCCTTGTGCCACATTTCTGTTTCATTTGCAGAATAAATATTACTACTGAGGCAGTAAGAATATTTTAGAGATCTTACTTTGCTTAAGCATTCACCTTTCTACTCTTCGTTGTTAACCAGTGTGTTATAGCTAAAAACGTGAGATATCTAGCAAGGGGAGAGATTGTAGAGGGAAAATGTGGATTCGTGCCTTTACCAAAAACCTTAATGTGATATGAACGAGAGTTCAAACTAAGTTTCTCATTCTGATAAAGAAAGATAACGTAAACACGGATTCCTTCGATGATAGTACCCATGCATGTACAGATAAACAATGATCATCTCAAGATATGTGATTTTGTAGACCAAAGCTTAAGTCAAGCAAAAACTTCTATTCGTCAAATCATTGCCACTCAACTGATTTTCTTGTCAAACTTTAAACCCTTTACATTCAATATTTGCCGAGTTATAAATGCAGTCAAAATCGTACTGAACTAAAATTTAATCAGTCGTTTAAAATTTCTATCTTTTTTATTTCTTTCTTTCAAGAACGGAAGCAGTTTCCTCTCGTTTTGAAGATTCTATACTTTACTATACTCAGTTTTTTTTTTGGGGGGGGGCGGGAGTTGAACGTTACTTACTTTTTTATGATCAATGTTTTATGATCAATATAGATATGTTTGTGCTGCATGTCACAAACACCACTTGTTTTGTTCATTGAAACCGTAGCTTCAGTGGTTTCAAAAGAAAAAAAAAAGAAGAAAAGAAATGATGCCGCAATTAGTGTGACCAAAAGAGTAACCAGATATTGTTAAGACTCAGAAAATTTGAAATGAACTATTATTATATCCAGAGTGGCACGATTTGTTTTTATTTGCATATGGCTATTTTTATAAATATCTAGATTTAACTACTTTAGGATAGTATGCACTGACAGTCTCAAAATGACCAAGTAATATTTATCCCTCATGAAAAACATCCTATTGCCCTTTCGGGGGTCGGGGAGGGTCAAAAACTTTAAGCCCAATCCCTAGGCGACCTTCCCCCTACCCCAGGCAATCACTATCTTTCGGGAGGGGGCTGAGTTCATTGCCCGGCGCCTGAGTCGCCCCCAAAAGGGGAAGTGCCGAGGACGCTCGGGCAGTTTTTCACGGTATTGTCCTAAATCCACTCTAAACTTCGACCTTGTGTCACATTCGGTAGCGACGTGGGCGCGCTGAAAAATTAAATCCTATTGTAATTGGCTCGCCCTTCGTTAGTTAGCACGGCCGTTACGCTCTGCCAATCTCTCATAAATAATCGAGTATTCCGCGTTTTGATCGCGTGAAAAAGAGGGGAAAAGACATTACTTGGTTTCAGTGAGAAAATGAATGAAAGGGAAGATAGAAGTGGAGAGAAAGAATCAAGCTGATAATAACAGATACGGCACTTTCATTTCAACCAAAAGGCCGAGAACCTATGGCGACCAATAAAAGCGCCAATTTTCAGATTCACAGTATCGAACGACGCAAACTCAAATAAGGAAAAAAAAAAACAGTGACCATAAATAACATAATATCGCCTGCTGAATTATTTTAAATTATTATTAAGAGAAATGTTCATAAGACGATGATTTGGCTAGAAAGAAATAAGCAAATAAGGGAAGATAAAATTGTTTAACGTCTGTCAATACCTCATAAATAATGGACTATTCAGTTTTTATCACATGGAAAGAGGGGAAAAGACATTTCAGTGATAAAAGGGAAAAATAGAAGTGTTTAGTGTTTGTTTCAATGAAATGGAAAAAGTTGTCTATTTCAAATCTTTTCATTTCTACACACTTAGAATAACGACCAGCATTCATATTTTTCATTCTTGTTGCAATATTTTGTTAAAGTTGTTAAGACCAAATAGTTTAACGATGTGATAGGAGAATTTCTATGGATATTTTATTGTCATTGAACTTGCAATCAGCTTATTCAATCATTAACTGAATAATTAAGATTATTCAGGAAATTCAAATAGGAAGGCCGTGAATTTTTCACGGGTATTTCAAGTTTTTTTCTTTCTTTCTAATTGATAAAATAAACATTTAAACCAACAAGTAATTTGAAAATTCTCAATCTTATGGCTCAGCAATTTATTAGAGTTGATATGTAAATTAATATTGATAATGAAACAATCATCTCTATTGTCTTATTTGTTAATCTAATATTGTTTGAGTTTAAATAGTATTATTTTTCAAGATCACTTTTAGGAAGATAAAATGAACAAAAATGTTCTTCTGGATGGAAAGAAAATGAAATTCCAGGCAACATTTCAAATCACACAATGATTGAAAACAAATGTTAATAGTCATAGCCTTTTATTTTCCAGATTTAACCTCAAAATATGTTTTACTTTTTGAGTGATTTTCACATCCATTTAGGGTTCAGGAAAGTATTATAAACTGAATTTTATCAACTAAAACAAAGCAAATTTAATTGAAATTGGTCTAGGAATTAAAAGAAGTCATTGATTCTACAAACACAATTATAAGTTATATTTTATTTGGTTGGAAGAATTGGAAAAATGAAGTTTTTTTTTCATATTTTATGCCCATTTTAATATTGGAATGGTTAGTAAAATATTTAGAGATAAATATTATTGATGAAAACAAGCATAAAAATGATTCAATATTTGATTAACAATGAAGCATGTTCAGATTGATTATAAAAAAAGAGAAATTAGAAAAATATTTTTTTTCATGTTTCACAAAATAAATTACAATTCATAAGCTTTCCTAATTATTGCCTTTATTTTCATTTGCATAAAGTTCTGTGTATTGGTTAATGCAATCATATCAAATATGATATTGAAAAAAAAAGAAGATATCAAATATCTTTTTTTTTCAATATTCAAAACTATATATATATATATATAGTAAGGTAATGAAGGTTTTGGCAATCTGTGTGTATAATTCCAAAGTGGATGTGATCCAGAGAGCTCAATGTAATACCAGACCATATATATATATATATATATATATATATATATATATATAGAGAGAGAGAGAGAGAGAGAAATAAAGAAAAATATATTTAAAAAGTATAAAGTATTTTCAAGTAGATAATCAGAGTAACTGACAGGCATAATCAATACAGGTTTACTAAAAACAAAGAGTGAATATATATATATATATATATATATATATATATATATAAAAGAGTGAGACATAACCCACTCACACAATGGTGAGCCAAAAAAGACAACTACTATCTTGTAAAAAGTGTACATATCAGTGTCAAAGATACAAAAGTAGATAAACCAAGCTCAAGTACTTCATTTTGACTTTGTTAAAAAACCAAAATTGTTATAGCCAGAAGAAAGACAAGAACATTCAGTATTGGTGAGTAGCTACTCACTAAAGACAGAAAGATCACCAAGTGCCAATAATGCATTGGTTGGCCAAGAATTAGCAATACAACAAAAGGAGGCATTCCCACCAAGGATGCATCAACAAAAGAGCTACTGTAGTACAGATTGCTTTAATCAAATTGAACAAAGGAATGCATTACATCATGCAATACAATCATCCTTTTTTTTTTTTTGCATAGGAGTCCATGTAGCTACAGGCCAGTCAGACTATCCATAGTCTTTAAAAGTCAATTGAGTCTTAGAACTGGATTTTGCATTGTTGCCTGGTGAGATTGATCTATTCTTTTTGTTCTGAATGAAGTGGACAGCAGGTTAACATTTGCATCATTATCCTGAGCAAGTGATAACATTAGGATATGCATTGTAGAAAAACAAGTGAAAGTTGCATGATAGCTTGAACAAAGTTCTGTTGGTAAAACACTAAATAGAAAGTACTTTGCTGTATATCACCAACTTCAACATCATGGTGACAATTTTCTATGATGTCAGTGACATCTTTCAGTAGAACAATCTATCCTACTATAATATATAGGTTGTTCTGGAATGGTTTTAAGAATAATGGTCACCAAATTCCTCAAATTGCAATTACATTGACAGGACCTGTTGTTAACATGATGATACCAAATGCCAGTGCAAACCATTATATCTAATTGGTTATGAACTGGTTAATTTGTTGGTACAGAGTTAACTGATACTTTATGAGGTATAATGTCATTATGTTTTGGTTTATTAGTGCGTGTGTGTGTGTTTTATGCATATGCATCGATGAGATTTATCATGTATGTAGAAATGATTTCTAACAACATTCAAACAGTATTTTATACATTTCAGTTTTTATAAACTGTTGCCTGTTCTCGGTATGAAAAAAGTAACCTGCTTCATGGATGAAATAATTGCATCAGAAATCAATATTCAAAGCAGGCAAATCTTTAAACTGGTGCAACACAATCTTCCTACCTCTATTCCCTGACTCACCATTTGGTTTCATTTTTTACAGAGTTAAAATAACTAAATATTAATAAACATCAAGAAGAAACACAAAATAAAATTGTTTTCTTTCCAATCTACATTGTGTCTTAATAAGGACATTTTTTTAAAAGACAAAAATTTATTAAAAATGAAAAATACATGATCATTTCAATCCAATTACCATTTCATTTCGGAATTGGTTTCCTGTCAGAGAGTGAGTTATCCTGGTCACCATGTTTTGTGTCCATCTCTACCAAAAATGGATCAACCACCAAAGAATTCAAACAACACTCCATAAAGCTGCTAGCTTTTCTACAAGATTCCAACTCATTCTTTAACATTGTAATCCTGTCCTCCAAAGAGTGATCACTTTCAAAATCAGGAGACAATTCATCTTCATATTCTGTAGATTTATTTACAGGAGTAAGCCCATCACACAGCCAGTGATCACTTTTGTCAGACTGCTCAGCACAGTTGTCCAGGAGTGTGGAGCCACCACTCTCTCCAAAATTCTTGAAAGTATTCTCCTCTTCAAAGAATCCTTCTTGCAATGAGCGTTCCAAGAAATCTTCAAAATTGTTATTGTGAAGTTTCTCGACATTCAGAGATGTCTTCAGTTGGTCAATTGATTTTGCATTTATAGCCATTAAATCTTGATCAAGAGAAAACTTGATGGATTCAATTTGAGTTTTCAGTAATTCAGTGGATTGGCTTTTCTTGTTTTGCATCATTTGTGAAACTGATTGGATATAAGTGGACTTCAGTGTGGGACCCTCTACAAAAAGAAAAAAAACAACACTTAGAAAATTACAAGATCAAAGCAATGGTTTGTGTAGGTATATATATATATATATATATATATATATATATATATATATATATATATATATATATATACACTTTTTTTCCTCACTGGTGACACAACACAGTTTCATGCACAACACAATCGCCAGGTGCTGATTAAAAAATGATCATAATTTATAATATATATATATATATATATATATATATATATATATATTAATATCCAAGTATATAATTGGTATATACGGAATGAATTCCAATAACCAACAATTACTATTCTTAAAAGAGTGCTCAATACAAAGTAGAGCAGATATAATTATTTTTTATAAAAAAAAATTATAACATAAGTATGTTATAAAATCACTACAAAAATAGCCATTTTGTTTCAACACACTCTGTGTCTTATCAAGTGATGATGTTGAAAATAAAATAAATGGTTTTAAAAGTTTCAGATTAATTAACGATCCTACACTAGGGGGAAACATTGTTACAAAAGCTAGAATAACCAATCAGAAACCAAGTATAGAAACATTCAAAAGCTTGACAACGAAGTCATGTTATAATAGCTATTCAGATCTTTAAAATATGTGTCATATTAAAATAATTTATACTAACCAATAATTATAAAATTATATGATAAAATTTAATATTAAAATTAAAAACTGGCAATTTTAAAATCCAAATTTAATCACTATTAAGTTTAAAAAACTACAAAATTATTGAGAAAAGAAAAAAATATATGTTTATTCAATTCATTTCTTCATTGAAATTACGTTCGACAAGACGCAACAATATATCCGGTCATTTGACAATACATGTATATATATTTTTTCTTTTCCCTTTTTTTTCCTTTTTTATTTTAAAGTGTGTGAATGTGGTCTTAAACTCATGCGCAAAACAACAAAAACACAATCAGATTATAATACATAAGCACCCAGACATAATTAGATACACACACACAAAAAGTGGGGGGTCGAGGACATGAACATCTCTACAGCCCTTTATGAAAAAAGGAGACGTGGAAACCAACACTTATAGACACACACAGTTAAATGTGAATACACTCTACATACACATAGACACCGATAGATACACATACATACATCCATAGACAATGACATAGACAATCAGATATCACAACCAATAAATATTTCAGACTTAAAGTATCATTAAATAAATGCTAACCACTTATTAAATTATAACTTAAGGGAGCAAATATACAAAGATAAAAATGGTTAAAAATAATATTATTTAATATATTAAAACGAAAATTCCAAAACCATAAATATCAATAAAAATATATATTAATCATATAAGTTGATAATAGTTTCATTATATATTAGGCAAAGAAAAACAGGATAAAGATACATATATATATATATACGTGGCAGCAAACACAAATTAACACACATAAACATATACATATACATACAGAAATACATACAAATAAATATATAAACATAAACATATACGCACATATACATATCTATGATAACAAGTACACATGCACACACATATACATATAAACCTAAATACACACATATATACACAGATTTTTATGCACACATACTTACATATATAAAAACAGTCATGATATGCCAAAGTTTCCATACCCACACATACACACAAACAAACTCATACATAATAGGTGCCAACACACACATATATACATACACAAACATACATGAATATATATACACATACATACATATCTACAAATAAACATATATATATCTATCTACAATAACAACTACCAATATATACATGCATACATAAAAATGCAACAACACTCAACCAAATACATATATAAACGTACTAACATATAGATACATAAATATACATTCAAATACCAACACACAGCAATATACATATAGCCTAACATACAAATATATAAATACATTCATACAAACAGAAATATACTTCAATATAAATATACATACACAATAAAATAGGACACATACAGATATATACATATATACACACACAAATATATATATATACACACACATACATACACACATACATATATATACAAATATATCGTGGCACAAAGCCGAAATTAGGGGGCACCCAGTGAGGAACGAACTCATTACTCAGTCGCAATTGATCTAGCAAACCATGCTTGCCAACCATTATACCGCTGTGATGTTATCATACATACACATATACATATTTATATTTATATACATACACATACATATATACACACAAAACATACATACATATATATATATATACACACATATACATACATATATAGGCACACACATACACATCAACAATTATTAACCTTTTTCTTCTAATCTACCATACCTTCCCACATTATATATATATATACACACACACAGACACATATATACACACACACACACATATATATATATATATATATATATATATATATATATATATATATATATATATAAAAACATATAAATACACTTATACTCAAACCTACATATTCCTCAGTGCAAATACTCTAACCAACACATAAATAAATATATACACATATACACCAACACTAATAACACTATGCAGGTAAACAATACACATTTATATCGTAAGTATGACCATCATGCAATAAAAATACTAATCTATTAAAAATACAGCGACATATCATTATCATTTAAAGTATACGACCCCTACACTAAGTTAAATTTATAACGGTGTTTACAATTAACTGTAAGTTCATATCTTTGATTTAAGAGATCAGCCTAAGACACAGAGTGTGTTGAAACAAAATGGCTATTTTTGTAGTGATTTTATAACATACTTATGTTATAATTTTTTTTTATAAAAAATAATTATATATATTAATATATATATTTTAATATAAATTATAGCACTGTTATTATACATCATGCACTATTTTATATTTTAAAATTTATTAACTTTAAAATTCTTAAGGATAATGTTAATAAATATTGAAATATGCACCAAACTGTTCAGAGGATGGAAAGTACAATACCGAAATCCTAAGACACATTGAGATTGAAAAAGATGCCTTTCAAAAGCAAAGCAAGGTATTAAGAAACAGAAAAATTTTATTTGGAACAAAGAAAAGACTATTGAACTTCTACATAACATCAGTCCTCCTATATGGTATTGAATACCAGACAATCTCCTTACAGATGAAGAAGAGACTAGAAATGCAGCAAAAGAAATGTGGTTCCACAGGAGGATGCTGAGAATACCTTGGACTGAACATGTGAACAATGACGAAGTTTTAGAGAAAATAGAGAGAAAAAGAACACTTGTGCTTAATATCAGAAAGAAATTTCTAAGGCACATAATGGGGAAAGTGGGCTTGAAAAATTTAATACTCACAGGACAGAATGAAGGCGAGAGAGAGGTAAACAATGCATAACCTACCTTAGCAAGATTGAGTAAATTAATGGTAAAACAAGATTTAGGAGAGATAACAAAAAGACAATTTATGAACAGAAAACTGTGGAGAGCTATGACTGCTAACGTCTTGAAGGGATGTGGCACATAAAAGAATAGTTTATATGCTAGTTTTGAATCAAAAAATGGATACTGATACCAACTTGGAATCTACTAGGTTGAAACTAGCCACCATTGGGCATATACAGAGAATTACCACCAAACAAACAGGGTAAGAAGAAAAATCAGTCTGTTAAGTTTTCTTTCCACCTAAAGATTTTGCTTGTGGTTAAATACAGTCAAGGGATGAGCATATTAAGTATTGAATGAGCAATCATGTTAATCTAACTATTCAAGCTTTTTTCTTTCTAATTGAGAGAGAAGAAAAACCTAAGTTTCTAGCAATGGCTGATTTTCAATTCAACTGCAAGAAGTCAGTCATTATGGTAGAAACAATAAAACTGTCAAACTATCTATCGTTCTTTTATTTCTATCTTTTTAAGTGGCAGTTTCTTAACTGACACTTGAAAGGATAGAAATAAAAGTGAAGAGTTATATTGACAGTTGAACAACAGATGAAAAACCAGCCTATCCCTTGCTTTACTTTAAGAGAACACTGGACATATATTTCTCTCACACAATTAGGTTTTTCATCAATTCTATTCATTGTCCAGCCCCACTTCTGTTATAGTGGAACACACCAATTCTATAGTTAATAGACTCTCCCACCTATAATAAGCAGGAGTAGTAAGAGTAAGAAGTTGCTCATTGAGTTGGTCAGTCAGTCAATGTTGGACGACCATTAGTCGCATACTAAAAGTATCAGCGACCACAATTAGATTACTGTGTCATACTTATTATATGAAGTTCCTAACGTTTTGTATGTCAAACCTGTTTTAGGACCGACTTAGTACAAATACAAGCCTCCACTTTGAAATCACTCCATAACGAACTTGGCGAAGAGGATTCGAACTCATACGGAGAAAAAAAAAAAAAATTCACCCACCATAACAAACTTGGAGAAGAGGATTCAAACTCGTACGGAGAAAAAAAAAAAAAAAAAAATTCACCCGCCATATCAAATTTGGCGAAGGGATTCAGATTCATACGGTGGAAGAAAAAAAAATATTCGCTCATCACATTATTTGGTGATGAAATTTGTACTCATATGGAGAAAAAAAAAAAAATTGCTTGTCACAATTTTGGCAACAAAATCTCGGATTCACACTTAAAAAAAAAAAAAACTTGGCAAAGTTTTTCGAAAGACAAGACGTCAACTTAGTGACAAAAAAATCTGTCGTATTCTCAACTGATTTCTTTTTTTTTTTTCTCGATAAGACAGTTTGCTCAAATAGGTCACGAATTGCAAATTCGTTAGGACCCCACTCTACAATATTTAAGCATTGTGTAAACTTTTTGCGAAGATGGAGGAATGCAAAAATATATTCCAGAAATTTTTTAAGTTCCAGATGGAACAACAGATGACAATATTAGAGCAACAGAAAACATTCCAGATGCATTCAAGATGCAGGAGGAAACTTTTGATAGACAGATGCAGTTTCAACGAGAAATGGAACAGATGCATAA